TGCCATTACGGCTTGATACAGTTTGAAATAGTGCATGAACAGTAACTAAGTCTCATCTCTGATAAAATTCAGTGTTTGAGTTATTTTAAATGTCCTTTTCTCACATTCCTGTTTGACTTTATCTGAATGGATTATGTTTGGAGAATGTAAATAGATAAACAGATGTGCTAATAATAAATACAATAGTTGATTAGATAGAAAAAACCAGGGAGCCAGCAGCATAGCCTACAATGAGCTCTAGGCTAAAAATGGTTACTAATATAACAGAAAATAGTACTTTGGTCATTAAAAAACACAGGTAACAAACCAGTGATATATCTTTCTACTGGTTCTCTCACTGGTTTACTTTCATGTAGCTAGAATATGTTTGTTAATGCAGCTCAAGAGAATGGTGAAAGAAGTGAAAGAAAAAGAGTTATGCTTTCTATTCAAGTAGCTAGGATGGGGGTGGATGGGTGGGTGAAAGGGAAATGTAGGTTTCAATCTGATGAAGAAGCACATGCTATGCTCCAGTTTTATGGTGCAGGGTTGTTGAGATTTTCTCAAGCAATAAATAAGAAATGTCACATAAATTCATCACCTCTGGATTCAGTCCTTCTTATACAGTCTGGCTGCCTCTTTCACTAGTCCTTTAGTTAGAGTTCATACTTTGCTCAGGTGTCCTGGCCATAGTGTGGACCTGTCTTCCTGCAGAACTAGCAGACTCTGTAAACCAAGAGAGCACAAAGAGGGATGTTTAGTTTTGAGCCCTGTAAGACTTGTAGTTCTTGCTCTTTTTCAATTCCCATGGTCCCTGCTTGTGGAAAGACTACCCACGTTCAGAGGTTTTGGCAGGACTCACTGTCCAACATCATCTGATGGATCACCTACTACAGAGTCTGAAGACTTAAACTGCCCATAGATCCTAGAGATGGTTACAATGATTTCATAATTGACCTGACTTCCAGAGCTACTTGCAAGTACAAAACCTCACTAAAGATAAAAGAATAAAAGAAATGTAAGGTTTTAGAAGAAGTTTGTAATTAAATTTGATTTGCTGGGGGGAAAACCAAAGCAAAACAGAATATCTGGAAAGTTAAATACTCTCAAGCATGCAGTCTTGAAACACTTTGTTTCACTAACTTCCAGCATTAAGAAACAAAAACGAACACTGTGGCAGAAGCCTAGATTCGAGAAATGTCAAGGAAAAAGAAGAAACTGTGGTAGAAAAATTTGGATTGTCACTTGTTATATGGCACTGTAGCTGCAGCCTGGTAATGTGCAATAAAACTGAGACAAACAGTTTGCTTTGAAAAGCACTTAGGTTATGGAATAAAACCACATGCATCAAAATTATGGCATAGCCTTCCGTATTGCATAATGTATTGCATAAGAGAAAATAGAGAATAGCTGTTTCACATTAATACTTTGTCACATGGGCAGGTCATGAATGCCAACAGTGAATGAAATTTCACTGGAGAAAGCAAAACAGAAAAAAAGTTTCTGATTCTGTCAACTTCAAAATCACACTTCATTCAGAGTAACTTTTTAAACTATTACTGTTCCAAGCAAGATGACTGAAACTAAAAGAGGCTTGACAGAAGGAGGATATTTTTACTGTGTCAAGTGGCAGCCCTTTGGATTTAATCAAAAGATCGTTTAAGTCTCTTTGCCTGTAATTTCTCAAATATAGTCAGGCTCCTTATTTCTGTGGCTCTTTCTTACAGCAACGGGTGAAAGAAATATTTTTAATTGGCTGAGGAACTCTGGCACCAAAACTATTTTAATTACTTGTTTCTAAACATAGAATACATATAGAATTTACTTTAATGCTTTATTAAATCTTTCTGCAATACTGAAATTTTCCATTTAGCCTAAACACAGTTTGACAGATTAAAAGAAATAAAATTGAAGGGAAAGCAAGCCCACACTCTTTATTACATTCATCTTTTTTTAGAATGACAAAATTAAAACAACACCCACATAAAATATAATTGCCAATATCATTCCACTTCATTTTTCAGAGCCAAAGAAGACAAAATCCATCATTCCCACCTCCAGGTCAGCTGCTCAGTTGTTTTTTTTTTTCCACCGGGGTAACTGCTAAACCTATCTCTGCCCAGAAGAGGAGCCAGTGAGAAGAGCTGGGTGTTAGGGACCTCGCACTGAACACGCTGGACTCAGACTAACCTTCTTAAATTTCAAGTGTACTAAGGAATGTGCTGGATCAGACACTGGGGAGGTGCTTTTTTACATAATTACCACAATTTTTTTAGTAGAAGACTGCCTCAGGCCTCCTGTGGCTATGCACTGCTGGGCTGCAGGTCTCTTTTGCAAAGCTTTTACTTAATTAACTAAAGGAAAATATATTTAAGAACAATGGGTGAAAGGCACTTGAGTAAGAGAGGGGCTACACGTGAGGTCTCATTTAAACCACATGTGTAGGCCACAGGGTGGTGGTTCCCCAGCTGCAGCCCATCTACCTTTTGCAGTAGATCATACCGTACGTGGCTGGGCATGGACCTTGGAGCTGCTTGCCAAAGACTACTGATGATGCAAGTGGAATTCACCTAACAGCTCTGTAGGCTTACGCCACAAGGAATGATTTATCCCTGTATTATTTTAGGTGTAAGCTCATGAAGTTACATTAGGCATCAAGCTGGAGCAAGGTTTGCTATCTACTCCTACTTATCCCATCCAAAGGGTCAGTAAAAATGCAGTGGGCAGTGGAGGAAAGCAGATCTCTGCTTTAATGTAGCTCCAGAAGGCAACAACAGTGGTGAAGATGGAGTGGCACAGACCAGGGTAGGTAATGGGGTGTTGGTTGCCAGCCCTTGCTGGAGCCCTGTTACTGTGTCCTACTACTCTTAACAGTATAAAGCTAGCATGGATACGCCTGCTGATACTACAAATGAATCTTCACTCTGGTGTCTAGAGAGATGCGCAAATACCTGTAGCTAAGCGTTGAGTGAAGCTGAACCACGCTTGGTATTGGAGGAGATGTTGATGGTCAATGGCTGGTGCCGCTGGTCCTGGCAGTGCAGTGGCGATGTGGCAGGTTGAATTACGAGTTAATCAGTTTTGATCCCGTCACTCTTTGCTGCTCATCAAAATACTCTGTTCAGCTCAGCGTTGTTTTGGAGAGTGTCTACTCTTGTGCCAATGCAGTTCAAGTGGCACACTAACAAATAAACTAACTAAATTAACTTTTTCAGTGAAGGCAAGCTCTAGAGTGTTTAAGCCACGCAGAAGCCTTTACTGATATGTCGTACAACAAAGTGCGTTTTGTCCTTTTTGTGAAGAATGTATCATCTTGTTTGTCATTACAAAGAGAAGTAGTACGGAAAGATGTACAGAAAATAACAGTATTCCAATTAATGTGTGGTATTAGATTTTATATGTGAGGAATACAAGTATGTGAGAATTGCTCGGGTTGGTATTTTGTGGCTGGGGACTGTGGAGGTGTGAAAGGGCCATTTGTGTTACGTTGTGCAGAGGGAGTTAAGGCCTCACAGCAGCAACACACAACTTCCTCTAAACTGCTGGTTTAAAAGTAACTTTTAAAAAAGTATTTGAAATGCCAGTGTGTTTGCTGGGAATGTATTATCTGCAAAGGGAAATTTCCTAACTTGTTTTTTTTTTCTCAACATAACTTTTGATTTGTAGTTGCCTGAAAGGCAATGGTACCAAATCGTTTGCTCCTCCTTCAGTACGTTCCTGCTGACTTCAAGAGACTGGTCTCACAAGAAGGAAAGTGCCAGGCTTTAGTTTATTAATACGAAAGAGGAACATGGTATAAATAAACTAGATGACTCGTGTATGCCAATGCTTTGTTAACCTGAAAGTTCCTGATTTGTGTCACTGTTGGCATGGGCTGTCACTGCTCCTCTGGCAGCTGTACAGCCTTGATTCAACTGCACCAGCTGCACTCATGACTGAAATGGCCATAGGGTAATGATCATTTTCAGGGCAAAGGCTGCAAATCCTGTTTCTTTTAAATAATGGAGAGCACGCATCTACATGGCAGTTATTTGTGTTTTAGGTTGCCTGGCCAATTAATGTCTCTTCAGGTGACCTAAACTGAGGAAAAACCCAAACCCTCCCTCGTCCATACAGTACTCATCTATACGGAGTTACCGTTGCCCACAGTTTTAAATAAATTTAAAGGCTGTTTGAAAACACGAAGCTAAATATTTAATATATTAAATAGGTGTAACAGAGGACTTGAAGAAACAAGCAACGGCAGCAGACTCGGCGCCTCTCGAACCTCCTGCGGCCCAGCCCGCCCCGGCCGGCGGCTCCCGCCCAGGCCGCCCTGAGGGCCGGGCGGGCGGAGGAGGGGGCGGCAGCGCGCCCCGCCGCCGCCCCGCTTTAGGAAGAGCAGGACTTGGGGTGCAGCCTCGCTCGCCCGCACCACATCGGTTCCCCCGGCGCTACCGGGCACGCCGGGAGCCTCCCTCCTTCCTTCCCCGGTGGGAAGCCACGGGCAGCTGCCCCCGGCCAGGCGTCCGTCCGCCGGCAGAAACTACAACTCCCGTGATGCTCCGCGGGCGGCGCGGTGCACGACGGGAGCTGCCACCTCTCCGAGCTTGCGGGGGGGGGGGGGAGGCGAGGCGCTTCCCC